CACCAGGGGTGGCCAGGGATGTCAGCAGGCACAGCCCTCGCCCCGCACTTACCCAGATACCCAGGGTCACGGTCTGGTCCCCCACGGTCATCACCTTGGCCACAAAAGCGGCTCCGATCGTCTGCAAGCGAAGCAAGAGGAGCGGTGGGAAACCGGCCCGGGCATGCGGGGGCATCTGTCCGGGGAACACGGTGGAAACCGGCGCAGGGATACGGGGGAATTCACCCCGGGGCGTGCGGAAAGAGGCTGAGGACACGCAGGGACCGACCCGCGGGGGCGGGAGGGATGTGGCGGGTCCCAGCCCGAACACGGCGGGGACAACGCGAGGGGACGCCGTCCCAGAGACGTGGGTGGCAGCATCCCGGGGACACGGCGCGGAAACGGGGAGACCACGGGCAGGATGCGGGGGTGCCACGCGAGGGGCTCATCCCGGGGAGGCGAGGGAGAGGCGGGGGCGCCATGCCGGGGCCGCACGGTGCCGGTGTGTCACTCACGTTCTGGTAGGGCCCGGCGCGGAAGCGGCCGTGGGCGCAGCGCTCCACGAGGCTGCTCTTGCCCACCCCCTCCTGCCCCAGCAGCACCACCTTGGCGTCCACCCGCCTCCCGCTCATCCTCGCGCCGCCGCCGCCGCGGGGCGGGGCCGCACCGGCCGGGGCGGGGCCGGAACCGGGCGAGGCGGGACCGGAACCGGGCGGGGCGTGCCGGAAGTGCGCAGTGCGGGGCGGAAGCGCGCGGCGGGGCGGGGCGGGGCGCGCGGGCCGCATGGCGGCCGCCCAGCAGGCGCGGGCCTGAGCGGCGGCCCCATGGGGAAATACTGCGCCAGCCTGGGCGTCCTCAAGGGGCCCTGGGACCAGGTGTTCGCCGCCTTCTGGCAGCGCTACCCCAACCCCTACAGGTGCGCCGGGGCTCTCCCCGCCCCCTTCCGCCGCTCGGTCCCACCTGGGATCGGTGCCACGCCCGGTCCCCAGCCCAGCCCGTTCCCCGGGGGTCCCGCGGGCTCCGGCCGGCGGGGATGGGTGTTCCGCACCACCGGTGCCCTCCCTGCCTTAGTCGTTCAGTTCCTGACGATTGCCAGCCCCGGGGGAGAGCTGGCGAGGAGCAGGGCGTGATGTTTCCTTCCCTATTTTAGCAAACATGTCCTGACCGAAGACATCGTGCACCGGGAGGTAACGCCGGACCACAAGCTGCTCTCTCGGCGGCTCCTGACCAAGACCAACCGGATGCCGCGTTGGGCAGAGCGCTTCTTCCCAGCCAATGTCGCCCACTCCGTCTACATCCTGGAGGACTCTATCGTGGACCCCAAGAACCGAACCATGACCACATTCACCTGGAACATCAACCACGCTCGTCTCATGGTAGGTGCTGGGCTGGGCGGGTGCGTGGGGGCTGGAGGGGACCCAGCAGTGCCCACGGCCGGGCTGTGCCTCGTGCAGGTGGTGGAGGAGCGCTGCGAGTACCGGGTGAACCCCGAGAACAGCAACTGGACCGAGGTCAAGCGGGAAGCCTGGGTATCCTCCAGCCTTTTCGGCGTCTCGCGGGCCATCCAGGTGAGCTCAAGCAGTAAAGCTGCTGCTCGCCCCTGCTCTACCCTTTCCTTGTGCTGGTTTTACACCCTTTCCCTTTGTTTCCCCCCATCCTCATGAGCTCTTGAGGCACCCAGAACCATCACTGTGAAAGTCACTCTGATTTTTCAAGCTGGGACAAAGCCCCAGGGGCTGTGTGTGACAGGGCTCACACCTTCACTGACTTTTCTCTTGCAGGAGTTTGGTCTGGCCAGGTTCAAAAGCAACGTGACCAAGAGCACTAAGGGATTTGAATATGTGCTAGCAAAAATGCAAGGTGGGCACCAAGGGCAGGCTGGGGCTGACCGGGATGGGTCTCTTGGAGTTAGAGGTCACACTGGGAACACTCCAGTCCATGGGCAGGTTGTTGCTTGAACTAATCTGACTGTGAAATCCTCACCCCTTGCCTTTGCCCTGTGTCTTGGCACAGCCTGCTCTTCCCTGAGTGGATCAGGCCAGCAGTGATTGCAGAGCTGGGCAAGGGTGTTGTGCAGGCAGGAGGGGGTGGAACGTGGTGACAGTCACGCCCCTGTGGTTCCCCTTTGGACGTGCCCTGACCTGCTGGGGGCAGGAACGCCAGGCTCATCTTCCTCCCCGTGTGGGGAAGTGCCTGGGTGGCAGGGCCGGTCTGGCGGGCACTCCTGTGGGGGTTAATGGCTTCCATGTTGTAGGAGAAGCTCCATCCAAAACACTGGTGGAGACAGCCAAGGAAGCAACCGAGAAAGCCAAGGAAACAGCTCTGGCTGCTACAGAGAAAGCCAAGGACCTGGCAAGCAAGGCAGCCACCAAGAAGAAGCAGTACGTGTGAGGGGCCAGCTGCACCAGGACAGATAGGAGACTCCTTAGATTTTATATTTTTAAAGAAACTGTATAAGTCTGACAATCAGCTGCTGCTTGACCCTTTCTGAGATGTAATTATCATTAAAGAATCTCCTCCCACCTCTGATTTGGCTGAGGCTGGCCTGGCTAGAGCAGAGCCCAGGGCTGCTCTGCACTCTGGGGGTGCAGCCCTCTGCAGGGAAGACACAGGCCAGGGTTTTACCAAGTGCCTTTACTATAAAAGTGTTGGGTCTGTACAAGAGAGCAGGGTGGCTGCAGGAGCATGAAGGGAGGTTCCTTAATGCACTCGTTTCCCCTTCCTGGCGCTCCAGGGGCAGGAGAACTTTCCTGTAGTCATGTCTGCAGTGGGCAGCACTGTCCCATACCCACATCAGGCAGCCCCCAGACTGCCCGTGGGTGCACAGGGGGAGGCAGGAGAGTGTCCTCAGTGACAGCCGGGCCTTCTTCCAGCACCTCTTCCAGTGCCTTGTGGTGCACAGCAGGTGCCACAGCGCAGTGCCAGCCCCATGCACCCAGTGCCACAGCCAGTGCCACCCAGCTGTGGGGGGGTAAGGCCGAACTCTTGCCCCCATCTGTGGCCCCTTAGCCTGGCGGCTGTGCTGAGGCTGGCCGGGGCTGGGTTTCCAGCAGGAAGGAGGCGGGCAGGCAGTGCAGGGAAGGCAGCGGGCGCCGTCAGGAGGCGGGGCTGTGGGGGCTGGAGTAGCTGTGGTCCCTCCCGGTGCCAAAGCCGGGCAGCAGGTCCCCGCTGAACACCACACCATCCACCTCTACCTCGGCATCCTCTGGGCACGGGGGAAGGCCGGGTCAGGCCCTTGGCTGCTTTCCCTCCCTGCCCACCCCCATTCTTTTTTTTCCCTTCCTTACCTTCCTCGGAAGGCTCTGAGAGCTGGGAGGAGTCCAGGCTGTCAGCCCGTGCCCGTTCCCCATCGGCGGGCAAGAGCAGCGATTCCAGCCGCCGCTGCAGGCTCCGCTGCCGGTCCCGCAGCCGGTCCTTGGCCCTTCGTGCCCTCAGTTCCTGCTCCTCCAGCCTCTGTGGGGGCCCGGTGAGCCATGAGCGGGGGCCGAGCTGCGCGGCCCTGTTGCCACACAGGAACCTCCCGACCCTGCCGGTGCCACCACCCCTCACCTGGATGTGGAGCCGGGCACGGTGCAGGAGGCTCAGCGTGGTGGAACGGGCCGGCCCCACGCCCAGCGGTACCTGCTGCTTCAGCCGCTCCAGGCAGCACCGGAGCTGGGCTCTCCTGCGGCCGGGCACGGCGGGAACGAGACGGGGGTCAGCCACGGAGAGGCACGGAGGCCCTACCACCCCCTGCCCCGCCGCTCTCCCCCCACGCCCCCGTACCTGTGCTTCTCCAGCGCGTTGTGCACCGACCTGCGGGAGAGACCCGGGTGATCAGCACCGCCGCCACCGCCCGCCGCCGTCCACCCACCCATCCACCGCTCACCTGACGCTGCCCACGGCCCGGCGCGACGGCGCGGGGCAGAGAGCGGCGTAGCCGTGCTCGGCCCCGGCCAGGCCGAGCGGGTGCCGGTGCTCGCGGTGCTCCAGGAACTCGGCCGCCTGCAGCAGCACCTGGATGCGGCTGCCCGCGGGCTCCATGGCGGGAGGCTGGGGGGGCCGCGGGCCGCGCGCTCATTGGCTGCGGGGCGCCCCGCGCCGCTGACGTCACCTCGGCGGGCAAACAAATTCAGGCGGGAAAGCGCGTGCTTCAAATTTGAATCGGCGGGAGGGGACGGCGCGGGCCACGCCCCCCAGGCCCAGGCCACGCCCGTGTCGGTGTTTAAGCAATTCTCACCCCTGAGCCACGCCCCCTAAGGCCACGCCCCCAGAGAGTTGCGCCCGCCCACGCGCGTGCCCGGGCACGCGCGGGGCGCGGCGCGCCCGTGTCTGCCCGTGCGGGAGCGCGCCCGCCCGTGTCCGCCCGCGCGGGAGCGCGCCCGCCCCGCTGCCCCCAGGACCTCGTCCCCCGCCCCACCGAGCCCACGGGTGTCCCCACACCAGCCGCTCCCACCAGCGCGCCCGGGATCGCCGCGGCGCAGCGCCACACGGCCCAGACAGACGGGTTTATTATCTGTTTATTAAAATCCATAGGGTGGAGGCGATAAGGAGGGAAGGGGAGGGCCGGGCCCCAGCTCCCGGGCACGGCACGGCACGGCACGGCACGGCACGGGCGGCCCCGGGGCACCCGCTGTCATGTGAGGGCTCTTTGCACCTTCTCAGGCCAGGCCCCGAGGGGAGACTCTGCCCCGGGCCCAACAGCAGCCAAAGTTCACCTGAAAAAAAACCACCACGAAGCACATTTCCAGCCGGGGGGCAGGTGCACGGCAGCGGCAAGCAGCTCACCCAAAGCAGGGCAGGCCACGGTGCACCAGGAGAGAAGGTCCTGCACCCACCATCACTCCGCACGGGCTGCCGCCGTGTGTGGGGTCCTGCCCCTGTGCACCGGGGGAAGCCTAACGCCAGGTGGGGGGGTCCTGCCACCATGCCCACCGAGCTCTGAGGACAGCCACGGGGCCGAGGTGCTGCCCTGCAGCCCCGGAGCGGCCCTGGGCACCCAGCTGTGCAGCTCCTGCAGTGCAGATCGGGCAGAGGGGCTCTCACTGGCTCCGGGCACAGCGGGATGCGGGCGGGACGTGTGTGCTGTAGCAGTGGGTGCAGACACGTACGGGTTTGCTCTGGCTGTAGAAGGGCAGCACTGCGGTATTCGGTGAGCAGCGGGCACAGAAGATCTGCCAAGAGACCAGACAGGGCCTGAGCTGGGTCCCCCAGTGACCCCACATGTCCCATCCCAGCCTTGTCCTACCTTCCCACAGCTGCGGCAGTGGTGCCGGCGGCGCAGCAGGGTGAAGGGCGAGCGGCAGGCAGAGCACTGGCTGCATGTGCTGTCCGGCACCCACTCGGGCAGGGGCCGGGCACCTGCTGGGCAAAACATCGGTAAAAACCCCTCAGCCTGGCTCCCCTCACAGCCAGACCCCCTAAGGCAGGATTGGGCAGGATCAGCCCCAGCCTCACACCCTGCCCCAGAGGCACAGCACCTGGGCAGCCCCTCACCTGCCCTCTGGAGCCTGGCAGCCTCTGCAGGGCGGGAGCACAGCGGGCAGTCAGCCACACGAGGAGCATCTGTCACACAGGAGTCACCATCTTTCTCTTCTGTGGGGACAAAGGTTGTAGCCCAGCCAAGCTGGAGCTGGGCGGGCACGATGGCCACGTTTTTCCCAAGCCTAGGGCTGTGGCCTTGTCTCACCAGGGATGAGCGATGGGCAGGGCAGAGAGCAGTCCCACATGTCCCTGGGGATTACTCACTGCTGTCACTTTGCTCCTGAGAGGGCTCCGCCTGCGAGCACACAATCTTGAAGACCGTTTTCAAGATGCTTCGCATGTCACTGGCAAAGTTGGTCTGGAGCTGATCGGCCACCCCTGCAGCAGGAGGGTGGGGGATCAGGGTGCTGGGGGTGTCAGGGTGCTGGGGGGTATCAGGGTGCTCGGGGGGATCAGGGTGCTGGGGGTTGACTTGGGGGTCACTCACCCGAGATGCAGACAAAGAGGGTGTGCAGCATGTCCTTGGTGCTGCTGTAGCGGGAGCGCAGCTCCGAGCAGCGGGCACCAGGGGTGGCACTGACCCCCACCCCTGGGCTGCTCCCAAGGGGCTGGGGGCTGCGCAGGGAGGAGGTAACCGTTACACCAGGGATGGTGTGAGATATCCCTGTCCCAGTGGACAGGGATTTGCTATCTTGGCCCACTGCACACCCCTGCTGCCAGTCAGTGCCCAGGTCATCCACTGCACTGGGGGGTCCCAGTTGTGTCGTGCAGGTGGGGAGTGCTTGGGTGGCATTAGGGACCTCCAGAAGACTGAAGGGAGCAGGAGGGTCCACACTGGGCACAGCTGCCCCCCAGGCTGGGGGCGCCTCTGGACTGCAGGGATCCTCCTGTTCAGCTGTGCACAGGCTCCTCTCCAGCAGGCAGAGCTCCTCTGCTGACAGCACCCGCAACAGGTCCCTGCAGCGAGGGGTTGGCATCAGCTCCATGTCAGTGTCAGGGCCCCACTGCTGCCCCACAGCCCTGCCCAGCGCCCCCCCATTGCACACCTGATCTTCTTCAGGAGGTTGTAGAAGGGGCTGAAGACCCGGGACATCTCCTCAGGGCTCCGCTCCAGGCTGAGGGGTCCCTCGGGGTAGATGAGGAGACCACTGTGAGGGGACAGAGCCCAGCTCATGTCAGGGGTTGCCTGGGACCCCAAGTCCCCATGAAGAGAAGGGGCTGGTACAGGACAGGGAACATACCAGGGGCTGCTGCACCCACCTGATAATGGCCAGGCGAGGGATGGTGAACATCAGCAGTGGCTCATAGCCATCGATCATCTCCTGGGTCAGGTAGCCCAGGTGCAGTGCTCTGGGGACACACAGACACCCTTACAGGGATCTGAGCCTAGGGAGGCTGCCCATCCTTGGGGCTGGAGTCCCTGCAGCCCCCACCTGACGCAGAGCGTCCTCACTCACCGCTCCACTGTCTCACAGAAGAGCACAATGATCTCCTGCTGCCTGTAGATCTCATCAGGAGACTTCACTGCCACCAGCGAGGACACGTAGCTGGAGAGACGGGGAGACTGTGAGGCCCCTACAGCCCTGGAACAGCCCACCACGACCCCAGCAGCCTCACCCTGCCCCTTACCTCAGCTCAAACTCTGCAAAGAGCCGGTCAAATTGGATGAGCACAGCCCGGACAGGCTCTGGGTAGGAGTTGGGCTGGCTCAGGCTTTGCTCACGCAGCACTGTCCGGACCAGCTCCAGGCTGCACAGCAGATTCCTGGCCTTGGGCCGCAGCTGTGCCCCATCTGACTCCTCCATCTCCAGGAAGGTCCCAGCCAGGAGACACTGCCGGGACAGGGACTGTCAGCAGCCAGCACCCAAGGCAATGCCTGTCCCCAGGGTCAGCTCGGTGGGGTGTCCATGGCCCCGGGCTCACCTCGGCAGCAAACAGCATGTGGTTCCCCAAGTTGTCCACCAAGAGCTCCTCAGGGAACTTGACCAGGTAGTCACGGCTGTGCCGCTGCGTGGGGATGCACTCCTCCATGATGCGCTCCAGGACGGCCAGCAGGTGAGCCTGGGGACGGCAGGGGTGTCACCTACGGCCTCCCGGGGGACCGAGTGACAGCGAGGTCCGGGCTGGCCCCGTACCTGGCTGAGGTGGAGCTGGTTGAGGAGCACCAGGTACTGCTGCGGATCCAGCTCGGCGTCCAGCCCGTTGATCTCGGCCACCACCCGTGTCACCCTCTCGTCGGCAAAGAAGAACTGGGAGAGCAGGCGTGGGTCGGAGCGCTGCGGGGAGGGCAGAGGGGTGATTGATGGTGGGGGCACCCCGCATCTCCACGTGCTGCTCCAGCGGGATCCCAAACCTCCCGCTCCCACAGCCGCGGGGGGATCGGACCCCATGGATCCACGAACACAATTGGAACAGGTACGTGGGACCTCCCACGGCAGCTTTGGCTCCTCCCGGGGAGCGCCGCCCTCCCCACCCACCCGTGCCTCAGTTTCCCCGGGGGCAGAGCAGGATGAACAAGCTCAGCCGCATCCCGGCAGCTTTGGAACCGATCCGTGCGTGGCTGTAAACACCGGGAAAGGTCCCCGGGAGTCCCCCCGCTTCCTCCTCCCGCTCCACCAGAGGATCCCCGGCCGCCCCCACTGCTCCCGGGATGGCCGCAGCTCCTGGATCGCCCCGACGGGCTCGTCCGGGGGCTCCGCCGGTCCCGGGCGCAGGGAGGGCGGCCCGGTTCGACCCTCCCCGGTCTCACCTTGGGTCGGCGGAGCCATCGGCGGAGGGCAGCGGGCAGCATGGCGCGTCCCGCAGCTCTGCCGCCGCCCGGCTCCCCGCGCCCGCCGCTCGCCGACGGGGCGGGTCGGCACCGGGCACCGCCCGGGGGGCGGATCGGAGCGGGTCCGCCCAGTCCCGGCACCGGGACGACCCGTCCCGCTCCTCGACGGACCGGTTCTCTGTGATGGGAAGGGTGAGGGTGCGTCTGCCGTGGGGCGGGATGGGTTTCACCGCCGGCTTTCCTTCCCGCTCTTGGTTCCCGTCTCAAATTCCCGACTGCATCCCCGGCTATCCTCCCCCGGTTCCTCTCTCCACGCAGCCCAACAATCCGTGGACAGGGACACCCCAGCGCTTCCCACAGCATTCCCGGAGTGATGGGGAACATCGGGAGAAGCACCCGCAGGCATCGTTACTGTGCAGGGCACGGGGAGTGGAGCGGGTAATGCAGTGGGAAGGGGATAAAGTGGCCCCTCGGTGGGACAAAGAGGAACCAAGTGGCCAAGAAGCGGTGCCGGGGGGTATTCGGGGTGTTGGCCACAGCAAACCACCCCGGCTGTGCCAAAGGACGTGTTTACTCCAGACCTGGCACTGCTGGCCACAGGATGTGGGTGCCGATAATTCAGGTGGCTGGAAGCCTAATGGGGTGGAATCATGGGTAAAGAATCCGTGGAGGATGGTTGAACAAACACGGCAGTGGCACCTCCTCGGCTTCAGAAAGTCCCTGCGTCATGGCAGTGCCCCGGCTGTGCTGGATGGGTGCAGGCGTGGGACTGGCCCCGCTGTTGGGGCTCACTGTGTACCCCACAGGCTCCAGCTCTGTTTTCAGCCATGTCCTGGTTCCCCTGGAAGGGGATCCCTGAGCACACAGGGAGAGTGAGATTGGAGCCCTGCTTGTCCTACAGGTCCCCACAGATCTGGGCACAACAATAAAAGAAGAATAAAGCTATTAGAGAGTGCCCAAAGAAGGCTGCAAAGAGTCTAGAGGGGAAGTCACATGAAAAGCTGCTGAAGTCCCTTGGTCTGTTCAGTCTGGAGAAGAGGAGACTGAGGAGAGACCTCAATATGGGCTGCAATGTCTTCAGGAGGGGCAGCCGAGGGCAGCTCCAATCTCTGCTCTCTGTGGTAGTAACAGGACCCGAGGGAATGGCTAGAGCTGTGTCAGGGGAAGTTTAGATTGGATATTAGGAAACGGTTCTTTGCCCAGAGGGTGGTCAGCCACTGAACAAGCTCCCCAGGGAAACGATCATGGCCCTAAGGCTGACGGAGCTCCCAGAGCATTTGGACAATGCTCTCAGGCACAGGGTGAAATTCCTATGTCCTGTGCAGAATCATAGAGAAGTTTGGAAATGACCTTAAAAGATCATCTCATTCCATCCCATTGCCATGCACAGGGACACCTCCCACTATCCCAGGTCGCTCCAAACCCCGTCCAGCCCGGCCTTGAACACCTTCAGGGATGGGGCAGCCTCAGCTTCTCTGGGCAGCCTGGGTGCCTTCCCACCCTCGCAGGGAAGACTTTTTTCCTAATATCTAACCTAATCCTGCTCTCTTTCAGTTCGAACCGGAGGAGCTGCACTCTGATGATCCAGGTGGGGATACGATCGCAATGCACCCCCGATCTCGACTGGGGCGCGGGCGCCTGTAGGACCCGCGGGAGCCTCGGGGCGCGGGGCGGATTCGAACCCGCGGCGCTGCCGCCGCTCCCCCTGCCCGCCAGGGGGCGCAGCGCTGCCCTCACCCAAGATGGCGGCGGCGGCTTCACCTCCCCGAGCGTTTCCCCCCTCCCTCCCTCCCTCCTTCCCGCGGGCAGGGGCCGGACGGGCCGCGCCGCCATATTGGCTGTTGTCCTGGCTGCGGCGGGCTCGCCATGACTCGCCGGCGGAACAAGGCGGCAACGGCGGCAACGGCGACGGCAGCGGCGGCAGGTGGCTCCGGGCCTCGCCGTGACAGGATGGCGGGTCCCGACGTCGGGCCTCCCCCGCCGCCACCACCACCGGAACCGCCCGCCCCGCCTGAGGTGGCGGCGGCGGCGGGCAGCGGCGGGGAGTCGGGCAGAGGCAGCGCGCAGGTACCGGGGTAGCGCTGCGGCGGGCACGGGGCTGGCTCCGAGGGGGGTTCAGCCTGCGCGGGGATGGGGCCCTGCCCCTTGCACCCCATCCCCCCCGGGCCCTGCCCATCCCCGCCCCGACCCCCGACTCGGAGCATCCCTGCGGATGGGGCTGGGAGCGCTCCCAGAGCGCCCCGCGGGCGGGCCCAGCCCCGCACAGCCCCGCACAGCCCTGCACAGCCCTGCCGCTGGGCGATGGCAGGTGGCTCCAGCATCCTCATTCAGCGCGCTTCTCCCTGCTGGACACACCTGGCTGCCGCCACCTGCTCCGGGTTGTGGGCAGCGAGGCGCGGGTGGGCGCCGGGCGTGGATGTGCTGGGTGGATTGGGGACAGCCGTGGTGTCACCAGCCGTGGCGTCGCCCGCCATGGTGGCGGTGTCAGCTGGGACACGGGGTGGCCCGGTTGCTCCCCCCTCGCCGTGGGTGGCCAGGGGGGCTGTGCCCCCACTCTGCTCTCCTTGGCCTCTGACCTTTGCTTCACCTTGAGCCTGCAGACGCCATCTGTTTGGCAGCAGCAGTTCAATGCACGGCTCATTGTGGCAGGGCCCCGCTGCGCCGGCAGACAATGGGGGCCCCCTCGCCCGCGCCACGCCGGGCTCGTCACGGCTGTCAGGGCTCCGGCGAGCCCGAGGGATGCAGCCCGGCTCCTGCAGGGAAGCCCCAACCTGGCTGTGCCTGTGCAGGGAGAGCGTGAAGCAGCACGGGGGGCTGCACCCCACCCTGGCGCATCAGCACCGCTGGCTGTGCAGAACAAAGAGGCGGGAGAGAGGGCTTGGGGCTCTTGGGTGACACAGTGGGGGCATCTTTGATGGGCAAGGAGGGAGAGCTGAGGCTGTCAGACCCACCCTTCATATCCCTTTCTGGGATTTCTGTGGGTGCTGCTTTGCCATGCAAGTACCCTCAGTCTCACTGTACCAGAGGTGATGATGGGAGTTGCTGATGGCTTCCCAGCCTTGCTTGGTGGCAAGGCTGGCTCTTTGGCATGGTGTGATCTTCCCAGAAGCCCAGACACTCCTAATCTGGCACATGGCAGGTTGGAAGCAGCTGGTCAGCCTGAGGCTGCTCTGCTCCAGTGGGAGAAGGTGCAATACCACATGTAGCCTGTAAGAATTTCCTTGGTTTAGTGTCAGCGTCCTGAGGTCTCCTTCACTGTCTCATCTGCCCCACATCTGCACCAGATCACACCTGGGTGACTCACAGTCTGTGTGTCCTTCCTCAGGTGCTGCCCACCGCCAACCAGTCCGTGCAGACCTGCTGCCTGCTCTGTCACCGGGAGCGCAAGGACTGGGGAGGGCCGTCCCACAATGGGCTGGTTTCCCCGGGCGAGAGGCTGCCACCCGACTTCGTGCCAACGCTCGTGCAGAACCTCCTGGGAGAAATGCCCCTGTGGATCTGCCAGAGCTGCCGGAAGAGCGTGGAGGAGGAAGAGCGACGGGCGGTGCAGGAACAGGCCCTGGCGGTACGCGGTTATGGGGCTGGGGTTTGGAAGGCAGGGCTGTGGCTGTAGGGACAGGGCACTGACCGCCCTGTGGCACTGACTGCATGTGTGGGTCCCATCCTCACTCTGAGCTGTGTCCCAGACATCCCAGCCTTCACTTCCTTGCCCAGGGCTGCCTGTGGCTCAGCAGGGACAGGCCCTGTTGGGGCGGTGTGTGGTGCTGTGGAGGCTCATCCAGCAGCTTGCCATGGCTTGGAGCTGCCGAGCTGGCAAGGCTGACAGTGCCACTGCTTTCCTCTGCTGCACGTTGTGCCGCGTCCCCCAGCCCCGGGGCTGCTCCCTTCATGACGCAGAGAGAGGCAGTGGCTGCCAGGGCAAGTGCCTGCCTGTGCGTGGGGTTTGGGTAGAGGAGTTGGCTTCTGCTTGGCTTTATTTAACCCTGCCCTAGTGTGAGTGGGACCAGCACAGGGACACAGCACAGGTGTGTGGCCCTTGGCATGGCCCAGCCTCTGTAAGCCAGGCTGTGTTGGTGTGGATGGAGGGGGTGTTTGTCACTCCCAAGACAGTGATAAAAGTGGTTCACATGAGCTGAGCCCCTGCTGCAATGGAGGGAGTGTTGGTACTGACACCTGGGGGCCAAGGTGTCCCCTCAGCCACTTCATTCTGCGTTTCCTTTGATAGGTCTCCTTATCCCACACATCCTGCAAATCACAGTCTTGTGGGGGTGGCTCACACTCCTCTTCCTCCTCCTCCTCGTCTTCTTCCTCCTCGTGCCACGGGAACTCAGGGGACTGGGACCCCAGCTCGTTTTTGTCTGCTCACAAGCTCTCGGGCCTCTGGAACTCGCAGCACACCAACGGGACCGTGCAGGGCAGCCCCCTTGGGACT